AATCAACGAATGGCATGGGTTAAAATTTTGTGTTCCCTCCTGTTAATTTTTGTGTTCCCAGAACGGTCCCACCTGTTTTATAACACAGAACAATTTAATAGTCTCAGACCCCCTTTTTGCTGGTGGACATCCCAATTATCTGTTGAAATAGTTACAAAATAAACTGTATTCAAATATCCTTGAATAAATTGATTTTTGAATATTTGTAAAAGATTTGATTTTCAGTTAGTCACCACTATATCCCTACAAAAAGTTTAGATACTTATTTCCTACTTATTTTCTATTTAATTTTTACAAAACATACTTAAATCAAAAAGGATGATTCACTAATTATTTGCAAAATATGTATGAATATACTTATTTTACAATTAAAACATTCTTATTTTTACAGTAATAGGAATGTAGATATCCTAATTATACACTTAAAATATAATATACCTCTGAATTTTAATAATTCTTAAAACATACTTATTTTCTTGATTTTGTAATTTACTTTATATATCGTTAAAACATACTTGAATTTGAAATGCAAATAATAAAATTATTCTTTTTACATCCAAAGAACTGACCAATCCAATTTCACTTCTGACTGATAAATGACTAAATAACCAATGATTTATTTGATTAATTACACAACAAGGGTATTAGCATCAAACAAGGTGATGATGAAGACCAGGGAGCAAAATCCTATTATAAAATTCAGGCACTGATAAAATTTAGAATGTCCAATAAAAATTTTGGAATAGGCCATTTTTCAACTACACATTTTTAATATTAATATTCTTTATCTGAATTATTCGTTTTAGTTTATTTGTTTTATTCATTTATTTGAATTATTTGAATTATTTGTTTTATTTGTTTTATTCATTTTATTTGAACTATTCGTTTTATTCATTTATTCGGATTATTTGTTTATTTGAATTATTTGTTTTATTCATTTATTCAGGTTATGCATTTTATTAGAATTATTCATTTTTATTCATTTTAAAATGATAAGAAGATGTGAACCAACTCACCAAAAGAACCTTTTAGCTCTGGCTCATGTTGCTCAATCATATTTTTGAAATTCTCTAGACCCAATTCAACATCTAAATTTAAGTTTCTTTGCCTTATGTATAGAAGATAAGATAGTAATTCAAATTTATTACAAATTGATTTAAGTATCCTTTATTATTTTCATATTGATTAACCTTTATTTACATTTCTTTTATTTTATTCATTAGGCAATCAAAATCATTTCTAGATAACAATACTACATCATCTTGAACATCAACATCTATATTTGACCAATTGTCTAGATTTATTTGATTATCATTAATTAAATTTCCTAACAATTCAGATAATTTGAATTCAGTGTTATTAGTATCAACATCTTCTATAATGTCATCAATTTCAATAATATTATTATCATCTTCAAAATCTTGTGACTTTCTTTTTTGATTATTTGATTTATTTCTACTTGATTGTACAATTGATAAGTAATGTTTAGGACAAAGTTGATCATTAATTTCAAGGTAATTATAATCCTCATATGTGCCATGATTTTAGCATTTTTTAAACCACCTTTGGTGAATCTTCTAAATATAACATCTTTTGCCTCACAATTTAAAACATTGCATGGGCCTAAATTTTTAGTAGTCATTTTATTGGTTATAAAAATATTATTTAAAGAAAATGGGGATTTAAAATTGTTTTTTTGTTTTTTTTTTTAATAAATTTTTAATCAGCTGTGTTTTTTTTTATTTTTAGAATTTGTGTAATAATCTTCAAACCAATCAAAATTAGATTTTATGTGATAATTGGAAATAATATCAACAAAAATCTGGCCAATGAAACAGTTGTTTTTGTGATCTGCAACAGTGATCCACTATTGGGGTTGGTCACAATGGTTGATCATCAAAAATAATAAACATCAATAATAAATTTTCATATATGCGGATTTTTTAAATGTTATTTTGAAATTTTTGTAACACCTCCAAAATAGTAAAAATCAATAAAATTGACAACTTTGAACCTTTATAAAGAAATTCTCTACTAATATAATAAAAAAAAAACTCACTGATAGGCTATTAATTGGGTGTTTTTAAATACAATTGCAGAAAGATTATTCATGTAGCTTGCTTGGTTACTGAGCCTTTACATTTTAAATTCCCATTTTTAATAGTGAAAACCAATAAAATTGACAACTTTAAACTTTTATAAAATTTTTTTTTACTAATATAAATGAAAAAACTCTCTGATAGGCTATTAATTGAGTGTTTGAAAATAGAATTGCGAAATATTATTTACACAACTTGTTTGGTTATTGAGCCTTTAGGTTTTAAAGTTTATCTAAATTTCCATTGTTTATAGTAATAGTAAAATCAATAAACTTGATAACTTTGAACCTTCACAAAAATTTTTTTTTACTAATATAAATGAAAAAAACCCTCTGATCGGTTATTGATTGAGTGTTTTTAAACAAAACCGCGGAAGGATTATTCCCACAATTGTTTAGTTTTTGAGCCTTTACGTTTTAAAATTTATCTAAATTTCCATCATTAATAGTAAAATCAACAAAATTGATAACTTTGAACCTTCACAAAAAATTTTTTTACTAATATAAATGAAAAAAACTCTCTGATCGGTTATTAACTGTGTGTTTGGAAATATAATCGCGGAAAGATTATTCCAACAGCTTGCTTGGTTATCGAGCCTTTACGTTTTAAAGTTTAAATAAATCTTTGATTATTTACTATATTAATATATAATGTTTTGATAATATTAAAAAATCCGCACATAGTAATTTTCTATATTGACCTGAACTATGTTTGATGATCAACCATTGTGACCAACCCCAAGAATTTATGGTATTTACGGTATTTACGGTATTTACGGCATTTACGGCATTACTATTATGGCATTACGGCATTACTGTATCACGGTTTTACGGTTTTACGGTTTTACGGTTTACGACTTTTATGACTGAGGTCTCATTCGAAAATCATTTACGGCTTATACGTAATGCCAAATTTGCCGTAATATATATATATAAATTTATATATTTATTGTTTATGAATTATTAGAAATGTTTTACCAATTTATATATATATCTTACTTTTTTTTGGAAATTATTTGCATGCGTATTTTTTCTACACGGCTATATAGCAAAAACGTTTATCCCGTTAATATTAAAAAATACACATTGTGCACAGTATATTTACTTGTATATAAACTGATAAAAAATTTTATAAACGTTTTTTAAATAAATTGACAATGTTTTTTACTAGTACCAAAAAATTTAAATTTGAAGACATTCCGGATTTAACTGACAAAGTAATTAATTGATTAAATCGATATTTTAATTACTTATCGACTCACAATCATTGTTTTATAGGTTGTGGTGGTAACTGGCGGCAACACAGGTATTGGATACGTTACGTGTAGAGATCTGGCAAGAAAAAATGCACATGTATTTGTTCTAAGCCGTAGTTCCTTTGAAAATCTTTTCCTTTTGAAGAAAATGCTAAAATAAATAACATTATTTTCTCATTCAATTAATCTTATGGGAGATTCTACAAAGAGTAAAGGTTCTAAGGAATTAGTTTTCATTTTTGACTGCATGTGAATTATGAATTAGTCTTTTCTTTTATTGAGCTTCAGCATTTTATTAAACATGAAGACTTTTACAAAATATAACTTATTCAAATGCTGATTAATTCTAAATATTTCTTTTTTTACAATTATTAATAATAGTAAAGGCATGAAAAAAAATTATAAATTGGAATAGAACATTTTTTGTCCAATATAAATATTTCAAAAATCTTGACAAATGTTTATTAGTCTTGCATGTTTTTTTAAAATCTTATCAAATGCACTAACCTACAGTTTTTCAAAAAAGGAAATCTTCTACAGTCTGTTTTATTACTATGGAATAAAGTTATATAAGTTCCACGTAACCTTCTAATAATAACTGTTTGATTTCAGAATATCTTAATAAATATATTTCATTTGGTGACATTCTATCCAAAAAATAATTTTCTCCATCACTAAAAAAATAGTTATAATAAATGGCAATGATGAAAAACGTTAATAATTATTGTGATCATTATTACAATTAATTAATATAGAGATTCTTTATTTTTACATTCACCTCCTCAATAAAAAATAAATAATAGTGTGGGTAATATATACCTTTTAGGAAGTTGGCTTTCATGAACCATTCTTATAGCACAACAAAATATTGTTTTCTGAAGATCCAATTGACTTGATAATAAATCTAAAAAAGAAAATTAAGTTTAATTAAATCAGAAAATCTATTTATTTTATTATTACTGTTATATTGACCTATATCTTGATTATTTTCCTCTTCCACCACTTCAGTTTCATCATTATCTAGATCATTTATATCATCTAAAAATGCATTTTTTCAAACTGTTTAATAATAATCAATATTAATATAATATGATTTATTTATAATTGTTCTTACATAATCAAGATTTACTTGTTAGCAAATACTGATTCTGTGTCTGACAATCTTGTAAATACACTGGCATATTTAATATCAATTCTAATTGTTTTTCAACCTTTTGATTTATATAATTATGTTTTTTAATATATATTTAACATAAATCTATTAATAAATAATAAAAATAATAAAAATACTTACTTTGCTTAATTGTATCATTGTATATTTTTGTATTATATATTTCATACGTTCAACATCTGCAAGCAATATGAAGACTATATAAGAACTTTCACTTTTTGCATTTCTAAAATTATTAAGAGTTGATTCCATCTTATTATATATAAATTATATATATAGATTTTAATATATTTATTTTTATTTTTTTTTTAATCGTGTATTTTCCCCAAATATATATATATAAACAAGTGAATTGTTCATTACTTGATATTTAATTCAACATATAAATTATCTAAAGCTGGCTCAATAGGTAAAATTTCTGGAGCAAATCTTTTCATTTATTAAAGCTGTTTTTACTTTTTCATAATCAGTTTTTGAAGCAATTTTTCCTCTTCTGACATTTCTTCTATTCCCATTCCAATCACCATATTGTCCACATTATCTTCCATCATAAATTCTTGTTTATCTAGATACATTTTTTTTTGTTTTGCCTGAACAACCATTTTGTGTTGATCATGTCAATATTTAAAAGGGAAGATCATACTATATAGTACAATGATAACTGCCTCCTTGAAAGGAGGGATGCCTACTGACACGTGTCATCGCAATAGTTCATTCCTTTATTATATAAATTTGGTATATATATATATATTTGTGGGAAAATACACTAGATAAAGCAAAAAATACATTCAGAGAAAATTACATAATATTTAATTTCATGATCCTTCCTATCTATTCTATTTCTATTGATATTATTATTGTAATTATTAATATTACTATTGTTACTAATAATATTGTGATCCCTTCCTTCCATTTGATGATACTTTTGCATCTTGTTTTCCAAAAATTTTTTTACAAAGATTTCTGCTGGATAATTCCCTTTTTACTTATTTATTCATCTATATAGTAATAGATAGATTGATTGATGATAAATACACGGGAACTTTTCAATAGAAACAGGGGAACTCTAAAAATAGATTGTAAAAAGATCTGCATTTCAATTTATTTTTGAAACTTTAAAGGAAAAAATCTCAAAATTTTGCCATATAAAGTAGACAAAATAGGTATTGTTCCTAAGCCAAAGCTGTTCTACATAAAGAGTTACGCGTAGAATTGAAGAACATTTTTTAAAAAACAAAGTAATAATTTCTCTCTTTTTTTAAAAAAACCCACAAAAATAAAAGCGCGTTTTATTATTTTTGTTACACACGTGGAAAAAAATCATTAACTACAAATTGTGGAAATTATTTAGCTCAAAAATACTGCAAATAAATAATCAATAAATACGAAAAGTGGAAAGGAAATAGTTACAATATTGTTAACTTCAATGCAAAATCCTTTTTTGTTCTCCTGGAAAAAAAACCCCCCGTACAAACCATATATTTTCTAAGTATAGACTCCTTTCCATCATTACCCTCCAAAGAAAAAACTGCCAGCAAATAAAAATCGTACTTGAAAGAGTAAAAGCACAAGATTATGTTTACTTGAAAGCATAAAAATTTGCCAATTCTTTCTTTAAAGTCTGCCATGCCGAGAAAATAGTCCGATATGCTAATACTAATTACAGTCTACACTGTCTATAATAATAACGGATTAAAAGTTTGGTCCCGATTTTTTACTCTTTCTATAATGGGTATTATTAATTAAACTTTTTATTACGTATAACGGATTGTATCTGAAAATCACTTCATATGACCTACATATAAATCAACACTGCCTATAACGGATTCACGTGATCTGAAATAAAATGCAGATCTCCCAAATCTAAATTATATATACTGTAATTAATATTAAATGTTGTCTATAAAAATCCAAAAAAAAATTAAAACAATTATTTGAAATAAATGACATAAGGTATGATGTAATGAACTAAAAGTATTGATGAAATGGAAAAAATGTTGATGATTATGATTTGCTGAATGAAGAAGAAATAATTTCTATGTCGAATTTTAATGAAGAAAATCAGGATGAAGAGACATCTCCTATTTCAAGTCAAGATGCTTTATTGGCTATTGAAAAAATAAACTTGTTTGTTTGAACAACAGTTTAAGGAATTTTACAAATGAGGAATTGAAACAGTTAAAAAATGTCAAAAAGAAAATTAAAAAAATAGAATTCAATTCAACAAAACAATCTATATTACAGTTTTTTAAATATTAATTATTACTGTTTTATGTAATAATGAAATTTTATTTATTTAATTTGGTACAATTTTCTATACCGGATTCTCTCTATAATAATAACGGACAAATTTCCAGGTCCCGATGATTCGTTATAGACAGTGTGGGCTGTATTTCGATTATAAAAAAATTTTCATTTAATGTCTTAAAACACCATTTTCAGTAATTTTTAGACAAAATTCAAAGTTTATTATAAAAATATAGATAGAATACAGACAGAGCGGTCATTGTGTTTAATTTATCATGTAAAATTTTTATTTTTTTATTAATAAAATAAAAGAAAAAAGATGCGGTTCTCTCAGAAAAATCAAATGATACCATCAAGCCATGCTAAATTAGCAGACGATACAAAACAACCTTACTTTCCATACAACAGGGTCATCCTTTACTGTATATTATTTTTATATTAAATAAGAAACAAAAAGAAATTCAAAATTAATCAATGTGATTAGTTAAATTTTTTTTGTGCATAAATTACATGAATATTAGAATAAGTTTTGTATTCGTTCAATTCATTAGTTAAATTATCAACTAAATAATTATATTGCTCGGAAGTTATACCCCAAGAGAGTAACAATATAGGACCAAAAGCTTTTGCCAATAAAACCAAATCTTCCGCCATGATTTTACCCACCCCATCACCATTCCATGTACCCATTGGAAGTAATTTAATATTGTGATTAATATTTATTAAATCATTACAAGATGAAAATAAACCTTCGAGTTTATTTGAATAAGTTATATCTATACTTTTTGCTTTCATTATTTCAATCCCTTGAAAAGGAAAGTGAAAATGTAAATTAGAAACGTTTAATAATAGATAATAATAATAGTAAATAAAATTGTTGTAATTTACTTACATGCTTCTGATAATTTTTTCGCTACTGGACCTCTATTTGAAGCAGGTATTTCAAATTCTGAGCTCTATAATAATAATAATATTATTATTATTATAAATGGAAATATGTGTGTACATACATACACAATATTAATATTAATATCAATAATATTTACCTCAATATAGCCACCTGGTTTAGTGACTCTGATTAATTCTTGTATACAAAAATCCCAATCATCTATAGAAAAAGCAGTTATCATATTTCTTATAACAACGAAATCAAACGAGCTGTCATCATATGGTAAACCCTCTAGAACATCAATTTGTTCAAATTTCACATTAGAAGGTTTAATTTCTGATGGATACATTGGCGAAATATCAATTCCTAAGAATTCTGATTCGGGATAATCATGTCCCATCTCAAGCAAAAATGTCCCGGCACCGCACCTAATTATTTATTATTATTTATTAGTATTTCTACTTGGAAATATTTCCTATTAAAATAACAGCGATAAATAGTATACTTACCCAACATCTAAAACTTTTGCGCCACCGTATCTTAGCAAATCATCTAAAGGAGAACAAAAATTTTTTTGCCAAATAAATCTTGATATATAATGTTGCATGTGCATTCTATCAATCTCTTCGTCATCATTCGGCAAAGAATATTTTGAACTTTCAAGATATCTTCTGCCATCTATATAAACATTGATTCTATCCGAACTTTTAGATGAACACAAAGATTTATCATCAGAAGATGAAGAAGATGACAAAAATGATAAATTTGTACGGTTTTTATTTTTTTTATAATATTTCTTTACACTGATATCGCCGATACTAATGGTGCTTCCCATTTTGGATAGGATGGGTAAAAGAAAAAACAAAAAGATAAACGAATGAATGAATTAATTAATTAATTAATGAATTAAGAATGTATCTAAAAAAATTTTTTAAAAAAATATATACTCAATATTCGAATTTTATATATAATAATTAATCGGCCGAAACGCGGAATTAATGAAGAAAATAAATCTACTACATGTAGCCTAGTGTGGTCATATAAGTACATAATAACAACAATAAATCCCAAAAACTCACAATAGACTACAATTAATTAGGCTTTGAATTGGTATTAATATTAGGATATTCATTTTAGCTTATTGATTAATGTAAAATTGCGTGTTTAAAAGCTACATTAAGGCAACAAAATAATAATAAATAATGAATGAATTGACAAAATGAGGCATACCGGAGCATTCGTACTACTACAAAGGATTTCAAGGATCCTCATAATCAGGAATTAATATCATTGATTGGTAGTACAATTATAATTTTAAATCCTTTTGTAGTATAAATGTTCCCAAATAAAAGACTGCCCATTGTGTGATTCCATCCAATTAATTGATCGATTGTTTTCTAAATAACAATTAAAAGTAAATTGCAGTTCTGGAACGTTGGGAAGGGTAAATATTTTTCCAAATAATTAATTACGCAACTGGAAAATAAATTTTTTAAAATCTTTGGATTATTAATAAATTAAATTACTTCTTGATTATTCTTGATTATTCTTGATTATTAATATAATATTATTAATGCAAGAAGTATTTATTTGTGAAACTACTAATACTAATAACTGAAATATCCATTTCAGAAATAACAATATATATATAGGTAGGTATACGTGTGTACATTATAATATATAAGTGACAAAAGTTCTTTTTTAAAAAACTTTTCTAAATAAAAAAATCTATCGAAATAATAAATCAATCGAAATAATAAATCAATCGAAATAATAAATCTATCGAAATAATAAATCTATCGAAATAAATTATTAATTACAATGGCAAAAATTGAAATTTCAGACGATTTTGGATATGTAATGCATTTTATATATCCATTTTGATTAATTTATTATTTTAATTATTTAATTTAATTATTTAAATAATGTTTTTAGGTTATCTTAACTGGAGTCGCATCCATTATTTTAACAATTTATCTTTCATTCAGTGTTGTTTCTGCAAGGAAAAAATACAACGTCAAATATCCTATTTGTAAATGTTTCTTTTTAATTATTTGATTGATTGGTTGGTTGATTGATTGATTGTTGGTTAAAAGTATTTTTGATTGATTTTTTTAGTGTATGCGACAAACGAAGAAGCAGAAAAAGATAAAAGCAAATTTATTTTCAATTGTTATCAAAGAGCTCATCAGGTACAACCAATCAAATCATCAAGTCATTTGATTTCTCGAAGAAATAAATAACTAAACTATAGGTTTTTTTTTTTCAGAATACTCTTGAAACTTACCCACAGTTTTTATTTTTGTAAGTAAATATTAATTTTAATTATCATTAATAAATGAATAGTAAATAATAATAATAATTCACATACTTGTTTTGTTTTTAATCTGATGATTAGATTGACTTTTGGTGGATTACAATATCCAAAAATCGCTTCTGTCGCAGGATTAATTTGGATTATAAGTAATTAAATAATCATTATTTATTATTTTTAAAATAATTACAGTAATTTTCGTAATAATATCATTATTATTATTTAGGTCGTGTGGCTTATGCAAAAGGTTATCAAACAGGTGATCCAGTAAAAAGAGGTAGAGGTAGATTTGGTTTAATAGGAACACTTGGCCTATTAGTCACATGTATTTTAACTGGTGTAAATATGTTGTTGTAAATTGCATATATTGCAAGATTTATCATTTTTATCATAATAATATATTAATATTAATAAATAATTTGGCATGTTAGAGAATTAAATCGTTTTATTGTGTCATAGCATCCCAAATATTCGACTATAAAAATAAACGTGTCACTGATGTTGCATGAATACCTATTACTATTACTATTATATTTGTATCCGGATTATCAAACATGCATAAATGGAATTTTCTCCACTTTGTTGTAATGAGGTTATAAAGAAACGAAGTAATCACTTGCAAAGCTTATAGAATACCATGTCAACTGAGAGAGCTTCAATAAACATGTAAAGTCTGAAGATGATGATTATATTGATATAGAAAAGCTTACACCGCCTAGTTTAAATGATACTGATGATGGATGGTATTGGAACATACAAAAAACGCGTTTGATAAACTTCTTGATAATAAAGAAAAATCTGATTCATTAAATCTTCAAGTTAAGAGTAAAGGAGGAGGATCAAATATCGCAGTTGGATATATCATTGGGTAAACGAAAAAATTATCCAACAGGTCCAAAAAATTTTATACAGTACCTTGGCAAAAGTTTTGGACACCCCGAATATCTCAATTACGCAAAAAAATTTATATCAACTTGTAGCTTATGTTCCGGTTAATTTAGTCACGTGAAATTTTTTAACTGGTAAATTCAATCGCTCGTTACTTACAAAATAATCACACACCTGGTTGAATTTCATTATTATGCATTTCATAAATACAAAGTGATTACGTCAAACCTCGCCACAGCATGGTTCCAGCCAAAGAAATTCGTTATTATTATTATTATTCCCTTTTCTATATGTGAAAATAAATTCGAAGTTCGTGTCATATGAAGTTTTTTTTTAAAAATATCTCGTTATTTTTATAATAAACTCGAACGTTGTTGTTATAGAAAACTAAAAGTACTCCGTTAAAGCTTTCTAATGAATACTCTTTCATATAGAAAGGTCTTCTCTACATGAATTCACGGCTATTCAAAAACGGTAATACTTTTTCACTTCAAAGCTCAAATTATTTCTCAATATCGCTTTAAAAAACTTGATAGTAAATGAGAAGGTGTAGAATATTTTAAGCTTTCACATGGTTATTACTTTATGGGGGTATTAGTTAATAAGTTTTAGAGAGGTTCACGAAAAACTATTTTATAGAAATTTAATAGTCATGAAGAATTTTTGTAGATGGGATTCAGCAAAAACTAAAAGGTGATTGTTTTATATTTCTGACATTATATTGATTAAAGTTTCATTAATAATTATTATGAATATCCATCAATCAGCAGTTGTTACAGCAACATTAAACAATAATATTAATAGCAAACAACGACAACAAATCATCGCTTTTTGAGGATGATAATAAAAATTAAGATCCAGTTTGTGTAGGAGATCGAAGTAAGTGTTAAGGTCAAGATCTATGAAACTTGCAAAATATACTAACGAATGTTTTATCAATTATTCAATATTTTGTATAGGAGTGTTCAAAGTAAGCATTAAGAACAAGGTCTATGAAGCTTGCAAAATATACTAACAAACGTTTATCAATCATTCAATGATTATATTTATTATTTATTAATGTATACAAATTTCTTTTTATTTTAACTTATATTTAATAATAAATAATTAATTGAATAAAGTCAGGGATAAAACACCTTTAATTTAATCATTATTGTTGCTTGTTTACTATTCTAATCATTATTTATGTATAGTAAAGATAAAATTTTAATATCTATTTATTTATTATATTTACTTTTAAAATAAATGATTTTACTATAAAAGACATACCTAAGTGATCAAAAATCTGTAAATATTCATAATAATGTAATATTTGGACATTTATTTCTACTTATACTTGCAATCGGACGCGTCAAACAATATAAAGGCAAAACTTGACTTTGAGGGTCAGGTTTCATTAACAACCTTCTTTAAAATTTTCTTAAAGCAGATACATATGATAAAGAAGTTATATCTCAAATTTGGTGGTGGTTGCTACACAGCAAGGATATCAAGCGAGGGCATGAAGACATTCGATTATAATAAAATTTTACTATGATCCAGATCATCCAAATCATATGGTGTACGTCATCTATAAATGTCAAAAATGGTCACCTGACTTTAAAAGTTTATAGCACAAAATTTTTATATCAAAAAAAAATATACTTTTGTTTCTTAGGTATATATTAACTTACAAAAGTATATGGTTCAATTTTTTTTTTTTTGATATAAAAATTTTGTGCTATAAACTTTTAAAGTTAAAAATTTTTATTAACATTCAAAATTTCAGACTAAAAATTCTTTTCATAAAAAGTAAGTGATCGCTGATAAATTTCATTAGTTTATATCGCACCAATAAAAATAACCAATTTTTTTTTAATATTATTCATTTTATAAAATGCCAAGACCATCTAAAAGAAAATTACACATGAGAAACCTAGTAAATAGTAAAGAAAGAAATTCTAATGGAACTTTGCAAGAAATCATGGAGATACATGGATCTATATAGGAATGGAATTATTGGAAAATTGGCAGAGTATGCTGTCAAAAAATATAGATCCAAAGTATACTTGTCGTCGGAATTTCCAAACAGAAATAATACGGTTACGGCATGTGCCGTATTATTTGCCATAAATAACATAAACTGTAAAACCGTAAAACCGTGAAAACCGCAAATACCGTAATAGTAAATACCAGAAAATAAAAGACATGTGTAATAGTAATGGCATCATGTCTATATATTAATATGCAGCATGGTTTATTTATTATTTATCATTATTTTTACAACAATCAAAAATTCAAATTTCTCCCAAAAAAATTACTCTAGCAATTCTTCAGAAAAAATTGCATCAAAATTAACATTATGAGATGAATTTATCTTCTGTATTTTATTAGAACTTGAAAATTGTTCTATCAGTATTTGCATGTATTCAAGTTTCACATTAGTTGGCACTGCAGAACAATGTAAAGCTAGATGCCCTTTCAAAAGTTCAGGTTTCCCTCTAGACCAAGCTTCTGCGCAATAATGACATTTGGCAGAGAAGTGGCCATCTCCTATTGTTTCTTTAAAAAAATGCTCCCAAACAATTGATTCTTTATGACCTCTTTTATTTTTTTGACCATTGCTTTGATGATTACTTGACATGCCCGACCTGACAGAACTCATAGAACTCATTTTTTCCTTTTAATAATTGAAAAATATTTTGTTAAGAAAAAACTTATCACTTCTATAATATAACTATTTCTATAAATATTTATTACATTAGTATGTTTATGTTATGTTTAATTGAATTGATAAAAAAGACATTTAATATTATTTAAAGGTTCATGGGAAAATTTTTCTATGTTGGTATTAGGTGTTACAGTACTACTATGGTATTAGGATTTACAGCATTTATTGGGGTTGGTCACAATGGTTGATCATCAAAAATAATAAACATCAATAATAAATTTTCATATATGCGGATTTTTTAAAGGTTATTTTGAAATTTTTGTAACACCTCCAAAATAGTAAAAATCAGTAAATTGAACCTTTATAAAAAAAATCTCTACTAATATAAATAAAAAAACTCACTGATAGACTATTAATTGAGTGTTTTTAAATACAATTGCGGAAAGATTATTCACGTAGCTTGCTTGGTTACCGAGCCTTTACATTTTAAATTCCCATTTTTTATAGTAAAACCCAATAAAATTGACAACTTTAAACTTTTATAAAATTTTTTTTTTACTAATATAAATGAAAAAAACTCTCTGATAGGCTATTAATTGAGTGTTTGAAAATAGAATTGCGAAATATTATTTACACAACTTGTTTGTTTATTGAGCCTTTAGGTTTTAAAGTTTATTTCCATTGTTTATAGTAATAGTAAAATCAATAAACTTGATAACTTTGAACCTTCACAAAAAATTTTTTTACGAATATAAATGAAAAAAACTCTCTGACCAGTCATTAATTGAGTGTTTTAAACAAAATCTCGGAAGGATTATTCCCACAATTGTTTAGTTTTTGAGCCTTTACGTTTTAAAGTTTATCTAAATTTCCATCATTAATAGTAAAATCAACAAAATTGGTAACTTTGAACCTTCACAAAAAAATTTTTTACTAATATAAATGAAAAAAACTCTCTGAACAGTCATTAATTGAGTATTTTTAAACAAAATCGCGGAAGGGTTATTCTCACAGCTAGTTTGGTTATTGAGCCTTTATGTTTTAAAGTTTATCTAAATTTCCATCGTTAATAGTAAAAACAACAAAATTGATAACTTTGAACCTTCACAAAAAAATTTTTTACTAATATAAATGAAAAAAACTCTCTGATCGGTTATTAACTGTGTGTTTGAAAATATAATCGCGGAAAGATTATTCCAACAGCTAGTTTGGTTATTGAACCTTTAGATTTTGAAATTTATCTAAATTTCCATTGTTTATAGTAAAATGACAACTTTGAACCTTTACAAAGAAATTTTTTATTAATAAAAATGAAAAAAACTCTCTGATCGGTTATTAATTGAGCATTTGCAAATACAATCGCGGAAGGATTATTCCAACAGCTTGCTTGGTTATTGAGCCTTTATGTTTTAAAGTTTAAATAAATTCCCATTGTTTATAGTAAAATCAATAAAATTGATAACTTTGAACCTTTACAAAAAAATTTTTTACTAATATAAATGAAAAAAACTCTCTGATCGGTTATTAACTGTGTGTTTGGAAATATAATCGCGGAAAGATTATTCCAACAGCTTGCTTGGTTATCGAGCCTTTACGTTTTAAAGTTTAAATAAATCTTTGATTATTTACTATATTAATATATAATGTTTTGATAATATTAAAAAATCCGCACATAGTAATTTTCTATATTGACCTGAACTATGTTTGATGATCAACCATTGTGACCAACCCCAAGAATTTATGGTATTTACGGTATTTACGGTATTTACGGCATTTACGGCATTACTATTATGGCATTACGGCATTACTGTATCACGGTTTTACGGTTTTACGGTTTTACGGTTTACGACTTTTATGACTGAGGTCTCATTCGAAAATCATTTACGGCTTATACGTAATGCCAAATTTGCCGTAATATATATATATAAATTTATATATTTATTGTTTATGAATTATTAGAAATGTTTTACCAATTTATATATATATCTTACTTTTTTTTGGAAATTATTTGCATGCGTATTTTTTCTACACGGCTATATAGCAAAAACGTTTATCCCGTTAATATTAAAAAATACACATTGTGCACAGTATATTTACTTGTATATAAACTGATAAAAAATTTTATAAACGTTTTTTAAATAAATTGACAATGTTTTTTACTAGTACCAAAAAATTTAAATTTGAAGACATTCCGGATTTAACTGACAAAGTAATTAATTGATTAAATCGATATTTTAATTACTTATCGACTCACAATCATTGTTTTATAGGTTGTGGTGGTAACTGGCGGCAACACAGGTATTGGATACGTTACGTGTAGAGATCTGGCAAGAA